TTGGAGCTAGCGACCATTTCAGGGCATACGAATTGAGTCGTAGTGAATCTTTTTCTAGCGCCGGCAGAGTGAGCCCCACTATCTCCATCGCCAGATCATCGAACATGTGTCCTAGGGTTCTACCGAGGTTGTTGTTGGTACATTGCTAACTACCCTCCTGTGTTGGAAGAGGTATAAATCAAAGCAGCGTGCTCGAAAATGCACACTCGAAGACTTGTCTAAGTTTTGATAATTACGATGATAGGTTGTTGTTGTTCTATATTTCTCACTTTCTCTACACCTCTTGAGATTATCGTTGATGGTCTCCCCGTCACACTTCTTGGGTTTGAGACGCTATATCATAGCTTTGAAGTTGTCACCAGTTGGGAGATGTCGACCTGGCTGCATCAGCATTGCTTGTGTGCTTACAGAAAAAAGGGCTGGGATGTTCTCTAGGCATGTCGGAAGACTCACAAAAGACGAATCCAGCTCGGAGAGAGAGCAAACTCCTAGTAATGCCATCGTCGTCTCCATCTCATGCTTCAAGATGCGGATTGCCTTTCCGACACCAGCTTTCCCGTAAACCATCGAAAATAAGAAGCCCCGGCCTAGACCTACACCTTTAGCGCCTAGGCAAAATGCCTTGACAATATCTGCGCCGCGTGTGACTCCACCGTCCATTATAACTTCGCGGCTTCTGAGCAATGTTGGACAGTATTTACGAATGTCAATCAGTGTTTCGAGGGATGATGGAGCGCTGTCGAGCTGCCTTCCTCCGTGATTAGATAGCCACGGATGCACATTGTCGAATTCGAGGCATCGGGCAGCATCTTGCCAACGTTGAATTCCCTTGATGGCCAGTGGTAGATTCGTTATGCTTCGAATCCATGTGACTGCCGATATCCAGTCGAATTCGATGTAGACTGGCCTTGCTTTGCGGTCAGCATTCCCTCTTGAAAACGAAGTCAGTTTAAGACAACCTACGGTCTCTTGATTGTAGTTCCGTAGTAAAACTCAGAGCCCCTCTCTCCTCCTCCTCCTTCTTCTTCTTCTTCCATACTAGCGCTGGTGTTATGTTTTGCAGCCACGTCATCGAGGCTATTGCGCACATCTCTCTCTCTGAGGCCTGGCAAAACTGCATCGACCGTGAGTGCAAAGCCTGTATACCCTAGCTCGAGGGCATGTCGAAGTTCTCTCTCTGACTTCTTCAGATCTGACTTGGCATAAATTTGCCAATACAGAGTTTGACGTCCGCTCCGAGCAGCCGCCATTTGGTCCATGGTGCAGCCGGCGTTATTACACACCCACTGAAGAATTCCATGCCTAGCTGCAGCGCGAGTAAGCAGAACCTCGCCCTCACTATTTGCGAGCTTGCCACCACCGGCCGGAGCAATAAAAAATGGAGCTGAGAATCGATTGCCGAATATGATGCATGAAGTGTCGACATGCAATATTGGGCGAAGGACACGAGGGCGAAAACGTACAATACGCCAGCTTTTTCGATTCCATGCTGATGCAATTTCATCCTCTGCGCCTGCGGCAAAAACTTGGTCGATAATGGTAAGAAATTGAGGGTACAACATCGTGATTTCAGAAGATCTTCAACTTACAAGCATAGGATTGCTTCGAAAGTATGGTTTCAGCGGCCTTCTCGAAATCTGCAATGTTGACAATTGCGGAAAGTGATGGACGCTTCGTGGACAGGTTTTCGTCGCTGCATACAACACCGGAATTCCCTCGCGAGCTTTCTTCGTTCTCCGTAACTGGACCAAGGTTCTGCCTGCAATGGTTTGGTAAGCGTGGCATAAGTGCATGGCACCGATCATCTTACTCTGCGCTGAGGCAATCCTTCAGGGTACCTGGAGGATGCAGTGGGACAAAGGCATCAGTTGCGTCGCGGCCCGCGTACGAAAGCAAGACTGCCTCACCGCCAGGATGAGAGCCAACAAATTGAGTCACATCGTAAGCTATCTTGTTGATGACTATCCAGCAGCTGTTGCGGGAAGCATGTTTTCGAACCTCGGACATACTAGGAAGGAACACATCAATCAATCATGGGTTCCGATGCTAAGGTTACTAAAAGCAGTGATAAAGGTGGTTCTTACCTAAGCGCCATGTTGGCGAAATAGCCAAGAAGAGGAACAGCAAGACGGGCAGCGATTTGTGACCACCAGGCCGCTGAAAAAAATCAAGAAAGAGACCTCTAGGATCAACGTACTCTCCGACTGAGGGTTCTTCTGGGGTTTGACAGATCACACATTTCCCGATAGTTGAGATCAAGTATTCCCTCGGACGAGCTTTGTCTGCCAGTGAGCACAAAGCGGTTAAGTCGAATTACTTAGTGCCTGTCTAGTCAATGTGAGAGGCTTCATAACACTGACCCATGCTGCTACTGCAAGGCTTATCTGCAGGGGCATTAGCCGAGCCCTTCATTCGGCTAAGGGAATCAGTGGACCAGATCTCTCATGCTCCACGTCGATGGAGACAGATCCCACCCATACCCGAAAATGGAAGGGAAAAGAATAGAGAAAATGTACGTCTGATGATGTATTTCTGGACGCGAACGCCGTCATAAACAGGCTCAGAACTAAGCGTCCTACAGGTTCCACAACTCGAAAGCATTCTTAGTAAATCGTTCCGACGATTATGGATCGGGTGTATGCACAGATCGCCAAGGAAACGGTCACCTTTACACCAAACGATGACGTTGTGAGAGAAAGCCTTCGTGAAGGCAATTACGCCTCGCTAATGATAGAAACAGAAATGGCGTGATATCTTTACCCCGTTTTACCCACCTGCGCCTGGAGACATCACAGTACATCGTAATGAAACCTATGGCCCCGCACAAAGGAACCGGCTAGACGTCTTCGTTCCCGCCGATATTGTGCGCGCCAACCCAGTGTTGGTGTATATTCATGGGGGCGGCTTCTTTTCTGGGGATAAGCAATGGAACGAGAAGGTATGAGTACTCGCATCACGTCCTGCATTGTTTGGTCTCATCCACCTCACATACCTTAGGTCTATTCGAACGTTGGCTACCACTTTGCGCAGCAGGGCATTGTCACTGTAATAGCGAACCATCAGCTTGTGCCATACATACAATACCCTGGTGGTGCCGACGACATGCAGCTCATACGACAATGGGTTCACGACAATATATCTTCGGATAGATATGGTTGTGGATCGCCGCAAAAGGTGTTTCTTATGGGGCATTCGTCCGGCGGCGCGCATTTATGCATGAATCTTTTTTCTGCTGGTAGGCACTGCCCTGACGACTGAACGACTCGAAGCCCAACCGATCCCGATATAGGTGACCCCAATCGGCCATTCATCGAGCCTCTTGCTCCACCCGTAGCAGGACTACTCCTCATTGACGTGCCGTTCTGGTACGATGCGCACAAGCCTGCTCGTGCTAATGTTCTCCGACATTACTATGGATCCGACGATGAGGACGTATGGGGGGTACGTTGCACTATCCGTCGTTATATGGCTGAGGTTACTAACGGCTTTCACAGCCAAAGTCAGCTCTGGGGTTACTCCAGCGCCTTCCAAACGACTCTACCGTCTTGTAAGTTTCTATCAAAGCGTTACCGTCCGGAAGACAGCTTTGAGCTCAAATGTCATTTTGTAGGGACTCAAGAAAGTTACCAATTTTCATAGGCTCCGTGGAGTGGGAGATGTACGTATTCTATGCTCCACGTGCGGTGATATTTCATGCCGATGGGTCCTAAAACTGCCCGCTGTCTTAGTCCAGAAACTGCTGATGCAATGGTGATGTTTCTCGACGCTTACAGGGCCGTGAGCCAACCCATAGCTACTCTCCCAACCCTGCATGTGCTCAAGAATCATAACCATTTAAGGTTCCAGATCATTCCCTCTCAACCTTTAGCAAAACGACTGACACCCTTCAGCAATATTTTGTCCATAGGTACGGACGACACAGCTCAGGCTGACAAGATACTTGAGTTCATGGAAGACTGTTTGGGGTCTAGATAACTTACATTTATGAGTTTATCTTGCCAAAGAGTAGTCTATGTAGTAATCAATTCGGGTTTGATCCCCTTTCAGGAGATCGCGATATAACTTTGATACTTGTACGAGGGTCAGGTGGACACAGGCGTCCTAGATCGAGGACAAACGTGCTACTGCGCAGACAGGAATTATTTTCCATGTCCTATGAAGCCAGCCAGCTCGGTGCATTAGAAGATAATAACATATCCTCATTTATCTCTTTCTCAATCCCTCTGAAGCTTGCCCCTGTCTGTAGATTGTTGTTTATTGCTTCCGTTGATGTCGGTAGTTCGCGATGCCTTCACCCTTACGTGCACAGGCGCGGTATCCGATAGACGCCAACTATCATCGAGTTTCGTTAACGAGCAAGACTCCTGGGTTCAGTTCCTTTATAGAGCTACCGGCGGGAAAACAAAAAGCGTTCAAAAAGTCTAGAATAAGCGAACAGTGTGTTTAGATTTTAATGTTCTGATAGAAGTTATCACAGAGCTATTCTTCCTGCGTAATCTTCGTATTGCAGTCGTGCGCTGAGACGGCAATGTATTGTTGCCATGTTTTTCTCACACATCCATTTTTACAGCACGGTCAATGATATCAGCTACATCATTGAAGCGGGGTGTGATTATGGCGTCAAAATCAGTCGGTGGCGGCCTGCAAACCATTAGAACAGTTCAGAAGAGACATTTTGGCTAACAAAACTTACGAGGCAAGAAAAGCGCCCCAATCCAATGGGTTCAGACTCGGCAGAACGGGGTTACCCTTTTGATCTCGAGGAGCTTTGATATCGAAAGCCCAAACCATACTTGCAACCACTGCTGGCATAAGCATATATGTTTCGGGAAGTATGGCACTTACTTACAAAGAAATAATGTCTGCTCTGCAAAATGCACTCCAAGGCACTTTCGGCTTCCACTACGGTACCTGTTAGCGTAAGGTCGCGTGGGTCAATCGAATGAATGTCTCACAAGCCAAAACCAGCATGCGGCAAATCATTTAATTGACCTGCACTGTCCAAGAACCTTTCGGGTTTAAAGTCATCTGGATCCGGATATAACTTCAAGTCCTGGTGTATGTAATGCGACAATGCGAATACGGTCGCTCCCTTTGGGATCAAGTAGCCCTCGTAAAAGTCATCTTCGACAACAGAGTGAGGAATTGCCACAGGAGCAACTGTTCGCCAGCGGAAGGCTTCCCGAATCATTGCTGTAATGTACGGTATTCGAGATATATCATCGAAGGTTGGAAGCCGGTCTCGTCCAATGGCTCCGTCGATGACTGATTGAGCCTTGGCTAAGACATGGGGAAAATACATGAAGATAATGATGAAGACAATGCTCGTTCCTGTGAGTGTTTCCGTGCCGGCGTCTACCATAGCAGCAGAGATGGTCATACCCTCATATAGACTAATCTGATCCATTTGGGTCTCCATTAGTGTTTGTGCGAGGCTTGGGAAACCATATGTCTTTTCTTTGCTTCTGAGACGAGTTTCGTTCCAGAGCTCAAGAAAGAGACTGTCAGCTTGATGGCGCCATCGAAGGCCCTGCCGTTTCCAACCCATTCCTGGTAACCATGCGGGGAGGTTTTGCAATTCAGGCAAGTAGTCTACCCAGAATCGACCTTGGATCTGCGAAATAAATTGATGATCCGTGACATCATTGATACGATGGACCAAGGGGTTGTCCAGGCTTGGTATCGAATCCCGGGAGAATGTCGTGCGTAGCATGACATTGACTGTAAAGCACTTTATGATGCTGGTAAACCTGTCTGGGTCCCGTACCAGCCGCTGCAATAGTAGCCTGGACTCTGGCAGAACGGTTGGATGAGCCCAATGTTTCAGGGTCTTGGCTCTGAGTCGTTCAGCGAGGATCCTGCGCTGCTTCTTGTGCGTGTTGTGGTGAGTGCGAGAGGTCCCAATATACCATCCGTTCTGCGTAACCATCTCTTGCGCCATGATAAGTTGTGGCCTATCACCATACTTGACCATGCGTTTCTGTAGAAGAGCCTGTGCATGGGACATCTTACCCAGAAGGACAGTAGGTTTACCCATGACCCAGAACATGACTATGTCGCCATGTTCCTGAGCCCAGTTACTGTATGTGATCCACGGTCGCTCATTGTTAATGTCGAGAAGGCTTCCCAGAAAGGGTAACCCTTTAGGGCCCGGGGGATAAAGCGGTCTGGGCTTATTGTGTTGCTTTAGAAAGAAACCCAAGATTATGGTGCCAATGGCGATGGCTATAAGGAGATCGAGTGACATCATGAAAACTTGACTGAAAAATAGGCATCCTAGGGTGGCTGACAGCGGGAGGTGAGAAGGAGTTGTTTTTGAAAGGACCAAGTAATGATCAATGGCCCGTTAATCAACGTTGAACAAGATCCGATGTCACTCGGCTATGTACAACGAGCTATGCGCCACTAGCTGCTTGCATATGTCAAGAACATGAATGCGAGATAAGACTTTGGGTATCCCTTATCGGTGCCGAATCTGTGACAAAAGAAGTCCCCACAAATACAGGGTAGAACTTGCAATAGAGCAACCCGTACATCATAATCAGTCTTTTCCTTATCCGCAAACTCCCGAAACAAACCCGGCCGTTGATTACCGGCTATGACTACGGCTAGGGAGATAACCGATCGAGTTTCACAGGGTTAATTCCGGATGACGGCGTATAAATGAGGCAGAATTCACAATGATTTCCAGAAGACTACCAATAATACGTGGAGTAATCTTACCTGTTCACTTCAATCGTCCATTCAAAGTCTTCTGCTCGCCCATTATGTCAGGCCCGCGATATCCCGCAATTCCTCCTCATGAGCTCACTCCCGAACAGAACGTATTTCATATAGAAATGGAAGACAGGATCCGCAATGGCATGGGTTCAACGTGAGCTTACCTAACCTGTCCAGCTCAAGATAGCTGATGATGCTGATCATGGTATAGTTTCACACTGCAAGACAAAGACGGTGCTTTGCTGGGCCCGTTGTCCATGATGATGTATACACCCGGGTACTCGACCCACACCATGCGTCTCAACAGAGAAGTATTGAATCTTAGGGCACTTGAGCCTGAGCCTACGGAAGTTGCCATCATGGCGGTTCAGGGGT